CAGTTTTCCAAGTTTGGCAAAGCCTCTTTCCTTGGCTTGATGGCATCTCTCAGGCTAATACTGCCCATTTTGTGGTCAGCCTTTATCAAAGCCGGGTTACCTCAGATTCATTCTCCGTTTACCGTCCGTGAGGACCCCCAGGTCCTCTCCTGCAAAGTTGTTTTCTACTCAGTTGACACCCACCTGTACCAGTGCATGGGGTTATTCTAGCCCAGGAGCAGAACTTTGTATTTGCCTGTGTTGAACTTCGTGATGTTGAAGTGCCATCCTCTTTCTGCAACTTGTCAAGGTCTCTCCCAATAGCCCTGCTCTCCCAGCTCTGTCCCAGGCTCAGGGGCCAGGGAGGCCTGAGGGCACAACCTGCCAGGAGAAATGGAGGCAAAAACAGCACTCGCCCTTTTCCATAGCTTTTGACTTGAGCAGCAGACCCAGGTCTCCCTTAGTCTTCCTTCTCCTGCTGACTCGCTTGCAGAAGGCTTTCTTGCTGCCTGAAACATGCCTTGCTAGGTTCAGTTCCAGCTGAGTTTTGGCTTTCCTAATTTCCTGCTTTTATGCTTGGGTGCTACCATTCTGTTTCTGCTGGGTAGGGCATCCCTACTCCCACCTCCATACAGTCCTTTTTTGCACTTGAGGCCCGTCAGGAATCCAGTGCTTAATTTTACTGGCCTCGTGCCAGGCTTGCCCAACTCTCTGTGCATTGGTCTGGATCATTCCCCTTTGCTTTGAAAATATTGTCACTGAAGTTCAGTTGACTTCCCTAAGTCCCTATGTCCTTCGGGGATCCTCATCATGCTATGGAACCTTTCCAGGCAGATACGTGAACATGTTAAAACCTGCTCTCCTGAAGTCCTAATCTTGCTTCCTTCTCAAAGGATCCCAAACTCCACTATCTCATTTTTACTGAAGCCAGGGCTGTCCTTAATCTTCACATCCACAAACAGTTCTTCCTTCCTTGTTTGTAACAGGTTCAGCAGTCAGCTTGCTTATAACCTCTGTCAATAAATTGTTATCAATCCAATTCAGGAATCTCCTATAGTGTTCATGCCCAGTGATAACTAACTGGATCTCAAGGTGGTTCGTCCCACATGAGCATGAAGGCCTATAACAATGCGACTTCCTCCAGATGTCTAAAAGGCTTTGTCTCCTCCTTGATCAGGTGGTCTGTAGGAGATGCATTCCACAGTATCAGCTGTTCCAATGCAACTCTTAGCATTCAGATAAAGTCTTTGCTTAGCATGCTTGTTGTCTTTACCTTCCAAGACGTCATACTCTGCCAGTCGTAAAAGCTATCCCATGATGTTTCTCATATCCAAGAGACTGTAGCATTGCAGTTGTTAATTGACTTCCAGTTCCATCTGTGTGTTTGTTTCACAAGCGGTGTGCTTTTGTTTGCAGGTAAACGTGGTGGGGCTCCACACTGTGCTGCTTTTACAAGGAAGGTGTGAGAGCCCTTCCCCATCATGATGTTCACTGCTCCCTACCTCACTGCCCTCATTCTTCCACTTTTTGCGTTTTGTCACCTTCAGTAAAAAAATAATAATAAAAAAATAGTAATAAATAATAATAATCCATGGTAATAAAGGATAAATGTGTGGAAATTAATAGCATTATCTTATTTCTAATTTAAAATTTTAGATTGAGTTTTCACAGTAGGAAAAAAAGAACTCCAAACCCAAGAAAGACCTTATCTTACTAATGTTAATAAGAATTTGCTTCAGTTATCCATATAATTCTAAGAGAAGGTTTAATTTACATGCTTCAAGACCTCAGATGATGAGATGCTGCTGCTAGGTGATTTTTGTTGCTTCTTAAATAGATGAAGGACAGAATGGAGAATTCAGCTCTTGAAATACTCTTTACACATTTATACTTATAACTTTTGTTTTTTTTTTAAAAAAAAAGAGAGGAGACTTGCATGTAGCTATGAGCTTTTCAGTTATGGGAAACAATGCAAGAAGAAACTTATGTAGGCTGCGCAGATCCTATCAAGAAAACAGAAAAATTAATTACATACTACTGGATGGAGTGCAAAAATATCTTCAACTTTTTGAGCTAGTATCTAGGAGAAACAAAGAAAATATTATTTGTGACGTGTTACTGTTGGAGTTTGCCTTTAATAGTCATCTAATTCTTGAGGGGAAATTGGGAAAGAGTATGGGATTGGACCATTACCATGCTATCCCAAAATTATTTGAATACTAGGCTGAGAAAGCAAAAAGACTGTAAGAGCAGCCAAAACTGAGCTGAACTAGAACTTTGTTCTAGTTCAGTATCCTGTCTTTACTGTGGCAGTAACGCATACCTACAAGAGGCTACAAACATGGGCAAGTATGTATAATTCTTCTCCCAAATACTTTCCCAACCTACAGCCATTTGCAGTTCAGGGAATTATAAGCAATATTAACTATGTTGGCTAATTTTAGAGTGCTTATGCTTTCATAAATAATGTTTAACATCCAGTTTGGTTATAGACAGAATAGGAAATAGGAATATATTTCTAAAGGGTATAAAAATACCCTTTTGCTTGCACATGGTAAGAGATGTAAAAGTGTGGAATAGAAATATTTATTGATGATTACTGCTGTTTCTACAAACTTACTAGGAATTTCTTCATGTCCTGGGTCCAGTACCTTAAGAATCATAGGAGAAGTTGTATCACAGCTGTAGTATATGCTTGATCTTGAAGGCTGTGTGGGCCAGCTCCCTGCTTCATTGTGTGCACATGAGTTCATGAACTGACTGTGCCATGACTCAGAAGTAAAAGGCAAAAACTGGGTCCAGACTTTTTAAGTGACAGCAGTATATACAGCATGATTCATTTCCTCTGTGTTGAAGGAGCTGAGGAATCTTTTGTTCTCTGTGGGATAGAGTCATGGGGGTATTTTCTTGCATCCTGAGATTTGTATTCACTATGGGGAGGAAGAGGAAGTATTTCCTAGTTGTCTATTCTGCAAGCTGTCTGGCAACTCCTTGATGTTTCTATGGCAATGCTTGCTCTTTGTGATTTTCTTCTAAAAATGTTTGTGTTCTTTTATTATTCTGTTGATAGTAAGAGTTTGCGGAAGAATACAAGCAGTTAAAATACAGTGGTTCAGCCAAAGCTGAACGGAATTTCATGGAGTAAAAACAAAGCATTTGTTTGGCTCACAGTTTCTGTTTTTCCAAAGTGTCAGTCTTGCTGCAAATAGTACAGGTGTTCTAGCATCTCAAATCAAACAAACAAATAATTAATGTTGAAAGAGACATTTATTTGGTAGTCTCTATCAGTCTAAATATATTAGGCAGTGATTGCTTCTCTTCACCCTGGAAAAGGAAGTGATGACAGAAACTGTCAACCCATGAAAAATGTATGAGCAGTATGGAGAAGGTGCAGAGGGAATACCTGCTCACTGCTGCTCCAGCTCTACAAGAAGATGGCAAACAAATGGCAGGTTCAAAATGAGCAAAAGGAGTATTTCATGCACTGTCTGTAGAGGTTCTGGAACACTGCCTGAGGCTACTGTAGGTGCTAAAGAACATCAACGTTCAACTTTTCAAAACATCAACATTAGGGCAGATGAATTCTTGGAATGACTTGGTGCAGTTGTTCTTATACCATTGCAACAGTTAAATATTTTAATTATACAAATGAAAGCTGGAATATCATAAAAATAGACAAGGCAGTCAAGTAGAGTTTTTTATACTTAACATAGAGTTCCCTTTTTGTGGTTTGCTTTCCTGAGTTATTCCAAATTAAGAACTAACCTTTTCGTGTACGGTTATATTTGCCCATTTCTAAGCTCAGGTCTTTTTTAGGTCTTTCTATTTACATAGAGTCACAGAATGGTTGCGGTAGGAAGGGACCACTGGAGGTCGTCTGATCCAGCCCCCTCCCTGGCTCAAGCAAGGCCTCCTAGGGGAGGTTCCCCAGGACCATGTCCAGACAGCTTTTGAATATCGCTGAGGAAGACTCCACAACCTCTGTGAGAAACCTGGGCCAGTGCTTGGTCAATCTCACTGTAAAAAAGTGCTTCCTGATGTTCAGGGGGAACTTTGTGCATTCCAGTTTGTGCCCATTCGCTCTTGTCCTGGCAATGGGCACCCCACTGAGAAAAGCATGGTTCTGTCCTCTTTGCACCTTCTTTTCAGGTATTTGCAGACACTGATGTGATCTCCCATAACTTTCTCTTCTCCAGACTGAACAGTCCCATCTTTCTCAGCCTCTCCTTGTAAGAGAGGCACTCCAGTCCCTTCATCATCTTTGTGACTTTTTGCTGGGCTTTCTCCAGTACGTCCCTGCCTGTCTCGTACTGAGTAGAAACTTCTGACTCTTTCTTCCTCCTAACCTACTTCCTATCACCTCCTCTGCTAACTTTTCTGGAATAAGGAATGTAAAGTGGGGTTTTATCAATAGAGGTAGCGTGGTTTAGCCAATATATTAAATACTAATAAACGTTAGCAAGATTGTAAGTTAATGCATAGCTAGTCATGTTGAAAATTAAATTTGAAGGTCAATTCCACCTCAGCCAAGAAGATGCAGTAACAAAGGTTGCCTTCCTAAATTGCAGTTTGGGCTTATGGTGGGTAACACTTGTGGGGTTTTTTGTTTGTTTAAAGAAACACAAAGAACATGAAAATCCACAACTTTATTTTTAATCTAGAGAGGTACAGCACTTGTTTAGCTTAAACAGGATAAATTTAAAGTACTTTACATTTCCAGCTGTGGTTTCTAGGCTTTTTGTAGCTAATCCTCACTTGAAAAAAAATCAGCAGTAGCTCAGGCCTTGTGGATCCATTTGAGGTCTTCCAAAGTTCATTAGCTCTAATTCCATGCTCCAGCTTTTCAGTCATATGCTTCTACCATGCCACTGAGACCTGTCCCACTAGTTGGGTACTGCCGTCTTAGAGATAATGCCTTCTGAGCACATCTGTCTAACAGCTGGGAAGGTGTCAGTATTACTGCTCAGGAACGTAGCAGATTCTTGCTTCCAGTGCTTGGATATTCCTTGCTTCATTCTCAGATCCGGGAGCTGGTTCCTGAGTCCCAGGCCTACATGGATCTGTTGGCCTTTGAACGCAAACTAGACCAGACCATTATGCGGAAGCGTGTGGATATTCAGGAAGCGCTGAAGAGGCCGATGAAGGTATGTCATGAACAATTTCTAGATTGAGTTAGGGGAAAAAATTACTCTTTGTCTTAAATGGTGGAATGATCTTTCCAGTAAATGTCCTGTTAACAGAGACATTTTTAAATGGATCACACAAAGCTCCTAAGAATAAGCATCTGGGAGCAGTGTGTATGGAAAAATGATGGAGAAGATTCTGGGGATATTACCAGCTATAGCTTCTCAAAGCCTTTAATAAATGGAATAATAGCTTCTAGATAAGTAAATACTGCTGGAGGAATTTTGTGTTTGAATTATTAGAAAGGAGAAAACAAGGGTTTAGAGGGGTGTGCTGAAGAGATATATTAAATTTCTTATTAGAATTCAGTTAAAATCTAAAATTGTGGAATAACAAAACAATGGGGAGAATTACAGAAAAGTTGTTAAAGTTCTTGCAAAAGTGTATGCATTTACATAGCCTATAAAAAAAAAAAAAAAGGATGATTCATATAAGAAAAGGATGGGTTAAATTTTCTGCAATTTCTTTTAGATCGAGTCCAGAACTTCCCTGTTCATGTATCCTACTGAAAAGGTATTTTCCTCAGCATTCTGATGCTGTTTCACTGAATTGTTAAAAAAAAAAAAAAAAAAAAAAAAAAAAAGGGTTAGGAAGGAACTGTGGAAATTACATAATGATATAATGGTTTGGGTTGGAAGGGACCTTAAAGATCATCTAGTTCCAACCCCCCTGCCCTAGGCAGGGACACCTCCCACTAGACCTTGTTGCTCAAAGCCCCATCCAGCCTGGCCTTAAACACTTCTGGGGATGTAGCATCCACAGCTTCTCTGGGCAACCTGTTGCAATGTCTCACCACCCTCTGAGTGAAGAATTTTCTCCTTGTATCTAATCTAAACCTACCTTCTTCTAGTCATCTAGTTCAACCTCCTGCTCAAACAGGGTTCAGCGTTTTGATTATATCTAAGGACAGAGGTCTAACAGCTTCTTCAGGCAACCTGAATGTTTGGCCACTCTCATGGTGAAGAATTTTTTTTCATATGTTTTAATTAAGTTCTTATTGCTGTTGAATGCACATATTCATATAGTAAATCCTGTAGTATGAAGGATTTCATGGTTGAATACCTGTGAAGTAAAGCTGTCATCCTTGTCTGTGGTGGCTGTTAGCCCAATTAAGATTCCATTCTGTTCATCAATGTACAGTTATCTTATAAGATGTGGAAGGCTTTTACATCTAATGTTTTTCCAACTGAAATTTATGAATCAGAAAAAATATATATATATAGAAAAATGAAGTTCTATGAACATGCATGTTTTACAAATAGGAAACTGAAGTTTGGATGGTTTAAATCACAAGTTTGTAGTCCAAAATGGTTCCATATAGTAGATTGGACTCTCAGCAGGAATAGCTTGTGTTAGCTTAAAGTGCATAAAACACCACTATTTTAAAACAATAAGGAACCTGACCATGTTTAAAAGGGATAGAAAATTTAGACTTGCAGGAAGATATTTACTCAGTGGCAAACTCTTTACCCATGGAATTGAACAGTGCATGTGGCTCCAGCTGTAAGCTAGACAGTGGAGATTTTCAGGGCCTATAATGGGAAAGAGTATAGGAGGCACAACAATACAGAAAACATATGCAAAAAAATCTGTTTCTATCCAGAGCTCAGCAAATGCATTTTAAATATGAGTTATTGATCTAGGTTACATCCGAATCTGTTTCTAAAGAATAATCAAACAGATGTTTCTTAAATTTGTGTCTAGATTTTGAGTGTAGCAGTTGAAAAATTCAAGATCTGCCAAAACAGAGCTAAGCCTAGATAAATTTGAGTTGTTCTGAAGTTGAGAGTTTTCATTTTATTATGGTTCAAACATTGGTAACAGCAATAAAACTTATATCTGCACTTCCATCCTTATCAAAGCTCTCTCAATTTTGAAATATTTTTGTTAGAACAAAAGTTCCCAAACTGGGATTATAATCATGGAAAAAATTTAAACTTGTCTGAGATATGTGATAATATATAGGAAATATGCAGGACTGCTCAGAATTACCAGTTGTAAGTGCGATAATTATATTGGTTGCAGTGATTGGGTTGTAGCTAGGAGAGGTCTTTGGAAACCAAAGACGGCCTGTGTTGCTCTGGATTTTTTTGTTTTGTTTTGTTTTTTTCCCCTCTATGTTGGTAGATTATTTATTCTGTAGAAATTTGGGGCAGAGATGATTCAAACATTTTTGATTGAGGACAGTGCATAAAATATGCTGTACCTGTCTGTTTTTCTTTGATCTTGTGTGAACAGCTGCACTGTTGAAATAGATGACAGCTGTGGGTTTGCTCACAAAGTAAGGAGGAGACCTTATTTTTTTTCTGAGGTTGGTTAAGGGGAGGCGATGGCCTTAAGCCACTGCTAGCTCACTTTACCACTGCTAACAGCCCCTCTTAGCTGCCAGATTTTCCAGTCCAGTTCCTGTCTTACCTTTTTTCTACCTCTTAGGTACTCTACTCTTCCTATGTTTGTATTACGTTCTCGGACTACACCTATCACAAGAGTCTCAGAATTCCTAATAATAGAATCATTAAATCATAGAATACTCCAAGTTGGAAGGGACCCACGAGGATCATCGAGTCCAACTCCCAATTCTGCATCCACAAAGCAGCATTTGCTTCATGCCACTTGTGGCAAGAGTCCCTGCACTGACATTATGAAAGAGCTACCTGTTAATGTGTTCAGAATTCCAGAAAGGATGTTGGAGGAGGGAGTTGGGCAGATGGGACTTCTTGAATTACGGACTGCAGTGTGAATTGATGTACAGATACAGCAAGCTCCATGGCCTGAAGGAAGCAGAAGCCATATTGTTTAACTCAAAACGAGTGGATATAATTAAAGAAGAATGAGTTAGTGAAAATATGGACAGCTGGGGCCATGGTGAACATTAGGAGTGGGATGTACTGGGTCAAGTACAGCCATCTACACTGCATTTATTTGTGTGCAAGTTAATCACTTTGGGCTTCCTTTACAGTCAGATTTAGTCAGTGTAGGCACAGTTCCTCTCATATAGAAGTATATATCGATATAGAAGTATATAATTATAAATATTGAAGTAGATATTTAAAATAAGATAGAAAAATTGTGCCCTAAAAAGTGCCTGTTTCTCTCCATTGTCTAAGCCTGGGATAACTAGTCAGTTGCAAAAGCAAGGCTTCCACTCCAAAACAGGCCACAAACAATAGTTTGATTTCTGACCCAAACCAGAGACTATCACTCTTTCATGGTGAACTGATGGGGGAGTTTGAGTTTACTATACCTGTGTGCAGTTGCAGTACCTCAAACTAAGTGATGTGCTCCGAGATTCTTCATTCGCAGGTTCAAAAAGAACCTAAAAAGAAGTGTCTGAATATAGACAGTGTCTAAATGCATCTCCCTGGTTTTGTAGATTGAAATTCTTTCCTCATTTTCAGATTTTAAGATGACTAAGGAATTGCTGTCGGATTGCTGGTAGAAGGGAACGTGCATTTTTTTCTGAAATTGTAAGGTTTCTGCACATCCCTCTGTCCTCTCAGGAGAGTTTTTGTTTGTTTGCTTGTTTGTTTTTGTTTTCCTCAGAATGCATTGTGTACACAGCATCTCATATCTGAGCTTTGTAGTTCAGTCATTCCAAGAAAGTCCCGTGTTTTCCTTCTGTTTCATTCTAAATGTAGATCATCCAATCCTATTTTGATTATAAAAGTCTTGTACATAATATGATGTGACTAACTGGGAAAAAAAAAAATCTTAAGTTACTAGTTAGAATTTCCAGTATCAACAGAAAAGTTCTGATGTCACTGCAGAAGATCCTAATGACATCCCACCTGATTGTTGAAGCTGGAATACATCATCATCAATGTTCAAAATTACATCAACGTTCAAAAAGAACAGTTCACACTAGAGTGATAGGGGGTGGGAGGAGGAAAGCTTCTGGATCACTTAGGGAAAGGAAGACACTTCCTGAATGTCACCTGGGTGTCACAAAGAAGGTTGTGAGGGACGGGGAATGACTGGGAAAGATTCTGGTAGAGGGGGAGAAAAGTATTGCCATTTAGGCTAAAGGACAATGCTGACACAAGAACAAATGGGGAAAAGGTGACTGTGAATAAATGTTAGGCTTGAACTTAGAAAGAGCTTTACTTTTCAGAGGAGCAAAATTCCTCTAAGTCAGGGAGGAGTAACAAAGACCTTGTTTTTTAAATTGTATCTTCATGATTTTCTGAAAGGCATTGCATGATTATGACACATCACCTGCACTTCACTGTTGCCCTCAGCTCAGTGACCCTAGGGCTGTTGGTGTACTCCATCAAGTACTACGATGGTTTTGATAAGGTATGTTAGAACACTTTAAGAGAAATATCTGTACAAGACATTTAAAGTAGAAATACATTGTAGGCGAAACAGAATATATGGCCGTTTCATCTTTACTCATCAGCCATAAAATTTTCAAATTAAAAAAAAAGCCAAAGAGCTTACAGTTTCCCTAGTGTGAGAAGGTAAGTCTGGCAACAGATCCTCTTGATTATCCTCTTGATTAGTAGGTGGTCATACATTGGAAGAGTTGGCTTATGGCTTGTGGTTGTCTTCCCATTCCTAGCCTTAACTTGTCTATTGGTCTTCGATCACCCAATCTTTGAGGGTCACCTTGGAGTCAGAGGGTTTTGGGTGAATCCACCTCCTTTTGGGTACTCCTAAATTCGGCCCTAAGAGTTCACAGTTGTCTTCCCTAGTCCTATCTGGTGATTCTTACATGTTGTTACTGAGAGGACTGTGTTGCCAATGGTACCACACCAATATGTGTTACTGAATTACTGATTGAATTATTGGACGGGTAGTTACACGCTGTCAGAAACTGTGCCCACAGCCTTACCATACTATACTGCTTTCAAATCATTAGGACTGAATCAAGCCACTAGGGTAAAAAGCTTATCATTCTCAAAAAAAGGCAAAGTGTGCGTGCATTCTAAATCCATCACACGCTAACTTAAGTATTTGA